TAAAAATTTAAAAAAATTCCTCGTTTTATAAATACGGTTCAGTTTTTGAATGTAAAAGGGCTAGTAAAAAAATATATTTAGGTCTTTTGCAGCCAGCACAAATCGATGCATGAATTATTGTATTTGAAGACGTGCTTAATTAATTTTACTTAATGCTTATCAGAAAGGCTTAACGCGTCCAAGTATATGTTAGCTGACAAGGATTAAAAAGTAAGAATTGTTTTAAATTTTAAGAATGTGTTATAGAGATAATTTTTTTATATTATTTTTTGATATAATTTTTATATAATATTAAATAAATATATATTTAATATTATAAATTTTATATAAATAAAAAAATTAATTATTTAAATAATACATCAAATTATATTAAAAAATATATTAAAAAATTATCTCAAAATTATATTCTTAAATTTTATGATAAAGTAATTTTATGAAATCATTGCCTAGGAGACTTTTGGGGCCAACAAGGAAAAATGCTCCTTCTTTCACTTTCACACTCGACAATCAATTTGACATTTTTGTGCTCGTCGTCATCGTTGCTTTATTTAATATTGAGATTCCACTAACAAAGGAATGTAACCGCTCAAACTGCACCTGACTCGTAACCCTAATAAGCAATCTAGCTAGCATAGCATAGTTTATGTATTAACTTAGTGAGAGCAGTATGCTGTCAGCAGAAATAATCCCCATATGTCCCTTTATGTGTCAAGTGACTTAATTAAGGCTCCTGAATAATGAATGTGAAGTAATTGGTCAGAAGAAATTTGAATGATTTCTACCTTTACTATTGATCTTTCAATTGAAGAAAAAAAATGGGATTGAAGTTGCCTTCTAGGCTGACTGTGTCAATGGTGAAGCAATGCCATCCAAAAATTGTTGCAAATATCCAGCAGGAACTTCCTCCCCGGTGATAGAATTCTTCTACATAACATAAACTTAAACACATATAAGTAATTTTAATTGCAATTATTCTCAAAACCAAAACTATATAAAAGTTAATTTTTCTACTGACATACCAATATTGCTCTTATTTTTGGAGGAACATGCTGGTGGTAACAAGGAGAAACAAACGAGAAACCAGATACTGGGAATCATATCTGCTCCAAAGCAACAAAGGCCAAAGATACAGAGAAAAATTAAATAATGAAAAGGAAAATTGGCAAAACATATGCCTCTTAAACAGTTTTTAAGATAAATAATTCTACTCAAAGTTACATTGATGTAGTCATGAGCTAACTCAAAAACAAATTTGGTTTGATTCTAGGTGCAGAAGGCAAGATTGAGCATCCCCAAGAACCTGCTGTATGATCCAAATTTTTTGAAGCATGAGAGTTACTTTTATCGTAAGAACTTGCAAACTTAAAATGCCATGATAGAATATTGCAGTGAACGCCATAATACTTAATGAGACTCATAAAAAGGCATACTTAGAAAGCATACCAGAAGAATCATTGGATGCCTGCAACCATAAAATGTGTTCCAGTACTGTGTACGTTAACTGATCACATGTTGAAAGCCAAACCTTTGTGATGCATTCACAACTTAAAAGAAACGGATATTATGAGCAAAT